TATTCATTTTTCAATAAATCAAGACGGATGGATGGATTTTTCTAGACCTATTTATTTGCTGTTGTTTTTGTGGCTCTCCACCAAAAATTGAGAGGGCCGGCCTGTGTTGATTGGAATTAATGAGTTTTAGAAAGAGCATCAATTTGGTGGCAGTCACTGACCAAAACTGAAAAACCGGGCTGGCCAAGTGTCTGCTTGCATAATATTTTACGAACAGTACTGAGGTTATAAAGACTTACTGTGGTTTGGATTGATGCTTTAAGAAAAATGCTGCTTAGTTAACTTGGACATCTATTGTTAGATTTAATATTAGGCCATGCACACGAAATACAGAACTCGACAAAATTAACGCTACACGAACCGAAGCAGAGTATGTTTATGCGTGGTTTTAGGGAACATAATGCAGTGCGCACTTCAAATCTAGACCTTAATTCGAGACTTCACTTTCCAATGAACCAAATAATCTTCTTTTAACACAAAGTTAACCCTTATTGGAGATCAAGCTCATGACCACCCCAAATTTCAGGTCCCGTCCCAAAGGTGGTCTCGAATTGAAGGGCGGACCTGAAGCATTTTGTGTGCTTTCCAACGGCCCAAGAACAAGTACGGTAAGGAGGGAACCATTGAATATTGATACAGTAGGCCTAGTCTTCAGATCAAATAAGTAGTTCATTTCTGTTTGACGATTTGGCCAAATGTTGTGTGTAAATATGGCTATTCCATGTTCCAAACGCCGTTATCCCGCAGTGGAGGAAGTATCAATCCACATAATAAAAGTAAACCCATATGTTGCGGAGGTGTGTCGTCTGTAAATTATCGATGCAAACAAAGGACTTGTTTATAAAAGATGTTTGTGTGTACACCAGAGTACGTGATTGTGGTTTTAAACGCATGCGTGTCGCCCCAGTGCGCCACCTGTTTCGTGATTATCTTGTTAAATGTATACAGAGGTAGTCCACACAATGTCACATGTGTCCCCCCCCCCTTTTTTTAATAGAGGTTTCCCCCTAAATGTTATTACTCGTTATCCTAAAACATATTTTGACACACAGTCAGAGTACTTAAAACGATGACATGGACTTCTTAAATTTATGTTTATTGACCTATTACGATAAAGTTTAATTTTTAACAATAAATTCATTGTAAATATTATAAATAATAGGCCTATTATTTACGAATTATTGTAACAACAGAACTTTTATTTTGCTTAATGGTTCAAGTCCTTATAAATCAATTTGTTTACAATACTGAGGTCTCTTTCTGTTGAAAGCACAATATATTCAGACATTAATGACTCAGGGTGCAGATCGGATTGAAATCCATTATGGAAGTACTTTTTTGGGACAATTTATTACCATTATTAAGTCGTTTGTAAGTCGCTTATTGGATTTGTCAATTATAGTTTCATTTCTGTTTGACGATTTGGCCAAATGTTGTGTGTTACCATGTTCCAAACGTCGTTATCCCGCAGTGGAGGAAGTATCAATCCACATAATAAAAGTAAACCCATATGTTGCGGAGGTGTGTCGTCTGTAAATTATCGATGCAAACAAAGGACTTGTTTATAAAAGATGTTTGTGTGTACACCAGAGTACGTGATTGTGGTTTTAAACGCATGCGTGTCGCCCCAGTGCGCCACCTGTTTCGTGATTATCTTGTTAAATGTATACAGAGGTAGTCCACACAATGTCACACGTGTCCCCCCCCCCACCTTTTTTTTTATAGAGGTTTCCCCCTAAATGTTATTACTCCTTATCCTAAAACATATTTTGACACACAGTCAGAGTACTTAAAACGATGACATGGACTTCTTAAATTTATGTTTATTGACCTATTACGATAAAGTTTAATTTTTAACAATAAATTCATTGTAAATATTATAAATAATAGGCCTATTATTTACGAATTATTGTAACAACAGAACTTTTATTTTGCTTAATGGTTCAAGTCCTTATAAATCAATTTGTTTACAATACTGAGGTCTCTTTCTGTTGAAAGCACAATATATCCAGACATTAATGACTCAGGGTGCAGATCGGATTGAAATCCATTATGGAAGTACTTTTTTGGGACAATTTAGTACCATTATTAAGTCGTTTGTAAGTCGCTTATTGGATTTGTCAATTATAGTTCTTTCTGCCGTCCGTCAGTACACTCTTGTAATACTGGTAGTCGTCACTAAGCTTCGCTTCTTTTCGTACACTTACGTACGCAAAGAACTCTCTACACCATTCTGCCCTTCATCTGTTTCCACAAATTCCCTTTTTTTTTATTCCTTCCCAACATTTCTGCACTCTTAAATCGCTCGTCTTATATAATTGTCCCACGTCCCCTGGTATTGCGCATCATATTGGACGGCCCGCTCCTTTTTTCGTCCACACGTTTCTCTTTTCCTTTTGTTGAATTTCCTAATTTTTACAGTTTTAATGTTTTTAAATGCAATAATATAGTACTGTATATATCTTATATTATATATATAATGTATTATGCCACTTTGGGAGTAACTTTTAGATTACTGTCTGCTTCCTGGGTTGACTGCCTTGTGTTTGTTTATGTTCTTGATTTTGGCAATACTTAAGAATAAGAATAAAAGGACCAAACATTACAAGATTGGTTTATGAGTAGTACAGTAACATAGTAACCAATAAAAAAGTTTACCAAAAATCCAATGGACATAATATGAAGGATATCTGGAAAGTTTGTGTAGGCCTGATAGACGACCCGGGAGCGAAGGACGACAAAAACTTGTCTGGTTATGTTGTATAAAGCCAAGATTTAATAATCAATTTTGCTGCAGATAACATCCTGTATAGGCAGCCTGGAAACACAAAAAATACATTTTCTTTCAATTATAAGGAACACGAACAAAAATGGTTGGATATAACTCCCGGGCGGATACTTTCTACGGTACCAATTAATTGAAGTTTTTCCTCAGAGACATGCATTTAGTCTAAGATCTGTCTGAGACAGGCCTATGAACTCAACAGGAGAGGATAAATCAGTAATTGTTAGGCCTCATACTAATATGAATCCAAGGAACAATTTGGGGAGTGTATGTGACAAAATTTCTGTTGGGGGAGAATAGTCATAAAATGACACGCCTTTCAAATAAGACCACTCCCTTTTTATCGGAAGTGCTGCATCCGACATCAGCATAGAGAGACGAAGTTGCAGGACTGGAGGATTTTGGATTTACGCTTTTAGTGATTTGATGTTTGGCTGAATAAATGAATTTGAATGAATAAAATGAACCTAAGGAGGACGCAGTTATTAGAATAGGCCTATATTTCTAAAATAGACTGACAGTGGCGGCGCCAGAGAGTCTGAAATCTGGGAGCGTGGTGGGGGCTGCGGCAAGTGAGGGGGAAGGTAAAAATTTAGGGAGAAATATGCTGTGGTGGCCCGAAGTGGGAGTGGTCGGGCGTCGCTCAAAATGTCTTGAAAGTGGTCCAGGGGCGAAGATCCAGAAAAATATGACAGGGGCTTATTTAATCAATTTTATAGATAGATAGTCTACTGTATATAGAAAATATATATAATTTTTTCTCCCCTAAGAATTGTGGTTTTTCTTCTTTTAGGGTGGTGGGGGGAAACTGGGTGGGCTGTCTCTTATACACATCTAGACACACACTTTACATAAAGTCTTGGCATTTTATATTAACCCCACTCCAGGTAAAATGAATCTTTCTTAAATTAATAATAATAATAATAATAATAATAATAATAATAATAATAATAATAATAATAATAATAATAATAATAATAATAATAATAATAATAATAATAATAATACATGGATAAACGAGGTCTCTATGCGCTCGGGACTAGATGCGAACCAGTACACCGGGGTAACCCCCTACTCATCTTGAAAGATGTACTGGGTTCTTCAAAGTGCACATGAGCATTTGTGTACACTGGGCCTACGGTTTATAGTCCTTATCCGAGAAGACTTGTTCCACCACCAGAACTGTAGGAGCGAGCCGGCCGCGAACCTGTGCCGATATTTTTGGTTGTGATCACGCTTCCCCTGCCTTAACCGCTCAAATTAATATTTATTATCTGTATTTTGATGATTTACTATGACTAGGCCTATTTTATGATAATATCACAAAATATTTTTACAAAATTTAAAATTGCTTCTTTGCATACTATTTGCGTTATCCCTCTTATGCTGGACGATCTGAACATCAAAGCTGTACATTACACCCATTTTTACGAAGATAAAAATGTGGCTTTTATAGCGGCAGCCACTTCGTAAAGTCCAAAATTGGGGTTTTAATGTTAGGCCTATCTGTCTTTATAATTTTGTGGGTTTCAGCCCACCTCGGGGAGCTTTCCAGCTTCATATTGTTTTTGGCAAAAAACAAAAGGAAAGTGGAGCTCGAACTCATGACATTCGCGTTATTATCACGACGTATATACATTGATTTTACTTAGTTAGCTAAATTAGTTTTACCGACTTCTGAAGTGTCTTTTAATGACTTAAATTCTTCAAAATTAAAGGTTTTCCCCTTTTGTAAACGGTCAGGTAAATATATATATCTTAAAATAGTAGGCCTATTAACATTGTAAAATAACATAGGCCTATTTGATTGTATTTAGTTATATGGTTAATAAGATGTTTTTTTAAATTGTAATTTTTTTGTAATTGGAAAAAAATATTTAAATGCCACTTTTTATTTCTTATTTTATTGTAATACAAACAGTTTTCGTTTTTGTATTTTTATTATACCGTAATAAATAAATAAATAAATAAATAAAAATAATGAACATATGGATGGTGTTGATGATGAGAACAGACACCGAATACACATCGTTCATTGAATAAATAAAAATTTATCCATATTTACAGGCTTATATGCAAGAACTACCTTAAAGCATGGAGGTATAAAAAAGTACCTCCATGGTTATAATACCTCCATGGTATTACCAGTTTAAACTTTATTCATAAAAAAGCACGCAAATTATAAAATAATAAAACTAACTTCCGGCAACCTTTTGAAATTGGGCCAATTTTTGTAGAACAAAATGGCGTACAATTATCCAGGCGGTGGTGCTCCACCTTCTCAGGTAAAGTGCAGACTAGTGATCTCACAAGGGAATATAATTGGTGTTTGTCGAATTTATACCCTTGATTATGATTTTGTGCTATGTCATTCGATTATAACTTTCATGCAAAAGGGAACATGTTTTTTCTTGGTGGGCGTCCTAGCCTAGCATAGAGCCAGGCCTGGCTGGGGCCTAGCTAAGCTAGGCTATGTTAGACTAGGCCTAGGGCCTGTATGGGTGTAGGACCGGTTCGGCCGTGAACAAGTTCGGCCGGAATATATTTGTATGGAACGCCAACTAGGCGCAAAGCTATGTATGCTGTACGTGTGTGTGGGTGTGTGTGTGTGTGTGTGTGTGTGTGTGTGTGGGTGGGAGGGAGTGTGTGTGTGGTTAATCTATTGGTGCTCAGTATCCATTATTTCGTGTTTTTGTTAGGTCTACGTTGCCAAATAATTCATGTGGTTCATAAGGTGTAAAAATGGGCAGTTACGCCCCTTTTTCCCCCAGTTTTTAAATATTAAAAAATCTGTATCTCATTCACCGTTCCCCAGTTTTTCGTCAAACTACTTTTTTCTGTCTTAGAAAAATCAGTTCTACAACATATCAAAAAATTGTTTTCCTCCGGAGCCTGACTTTAAGCTGAAAATTAATTAATGTGATTTTAAGCAATTCTATGGCATTAATACTGCGATGAGTTTGCGAACAAATCAGTGGATTTTATTAGGTTTGTGCAAGTTAATACATGTTTTAAGATTCATATATTTCGTTTTATCTATTTGAAACAAACGAACAGTGGATTTTATTAGGTTTGTGTAAGTTTATAATACAGCTTTAAGATTCATAAAATAGGCCCTATTTCGCTTTATCTATTTGAAACAAACGAATTTATAAGTTGATAATCAAAACAAAGGATTTTATTATTTTCATATAGTGTCGATGTATATTATATTGAAGAAGAGGAAGAAGAAAAGAAGAATGTTGATAATATTAATATACTGCCAAATTTTATTATATTTTTCGTATTATTATTAAAGCTTACATTTAATAATGCTTTATGTTTCGTTGGTATACGGACATAAACCACCCAGGACATAAACCACCCAGGACATAAACCACCCAATTGGAATATACCATTGTTAAAGTGGGTGGGCAACAGGGTGAACAATGTTGGGTGGTCTTGCTTTTATCTAGCTTTACAATTAGGGCTTAATTTGCTATTTTACACTCCTATTATACGCCTTTAATTCATTCATTTCTTCTGACAACATGCATGTTGGTTAGTAATCATTGTAGATTTTAGTAATCACTGTGCTTAAAGTTTAATTTTTTTTAGTTTTCTATTTTAGTTTTCTAAAATTTTTAGTTTTCTAAATTTATTTTAATTTTTAAAATGACTTACATTAAAAATCACTTTCAATTAAATACTTCCCTTTAATAATAATAATAATTTTATTTTAGTAATCACTGTGCTTAAGTTTAATTGTTTTAATAGGTATATTTTAGTTTTCTAAAATTATTTTCTAAAATTATTGCACAATGGGTAAAAATAAGAATATAAATGACTAATTCTATAAAAAAGTATTTATCATACATGTATATGGTCTGTCTCTTATACACATCTAGATGTGTATAAGAGACAGCTAGTGATCTCACAAGGGAATATAATTGGTGTTTGTCGAATTTATACCCTTGATTATGATTTTGTGCTATGTCATTCGATTATAACTTTCATGCAAAAGGGAACATGTTTTTTCTTGGTAGGCATCCTAGCCTAGCCTAGGGCCAGGCCTGGCTGGGGCCTAGCTAGGAAGCTAGGCTAGGTTAAACTAGGCCTAGGGCCTGTATGTAGGCTAACTGGGCTCTATTTTATCATATTGCTATAGAATATTGCTTTTTTATATTGATGATGGAGGGAATGTTTTTTATTTGTCAAGAATATTATGTTGTATAAAAACTGGTTTAATTTTATTGTTTTTCAAACACTATTTCTAGTCACGAAAATTGCATTGTTTTTTTAAGGCTCTGTTGAAATATATGATACGGCAAAAAAAGTTTTATTTCCACATCAATATTCCCAAATTTGTGTTGCGGGCATCGGGAGAGATAATCTAACAATTTATTCTGTTTGTCCTTAACATAAAGTGTTGGGATTTCTTGTTCAATTTCAATCTGTTTTAGGCCTATATGTTAAAATCAGACATGATGAAATTCCAATATTTACCTTTTACTTAGAACCCATATGGGCAGCAGCCAGCATATGGAGGACAACAACCAGCATACGGTGCCCCTCCTACCGGGGCAGCTCCATATGGTCAACAACCAGCAGGGGGATATAGACCACCCCCACCTCAACAAGGAGCTCCAGGAGGATATGGTGGGCAACCTACAGCTGCTTATGGAGGACAACCACCAGCTGGCTATGCTGGACGACCACCAGCCGGTTATGGAGGACAACCACCAGCTGGCTATGGAGGGCAACCACCTACTGGTTATGGAGGACAACCACCTACTGGCTATGGAGGACAACCACCTGCTGGGTATGGTGCTCCAGGGGGACAGCAATATGGTGCCCATGGAGGAGCTCACTTTGGAGGTCCGGGAGGTAAAAATAATATTAATGAAGTAATACAAATTGAAGATAGGCCAATTGCAGTAGAAAGATTTCAGGATGTTTACATTTTCAACGGGGAAATAAGGATTAATGTTTTAAATCAGAGCCAACATACCTAAACACCATATAACAGCTTTCTGCATTATCCTTACCTGGATTATTTACAAACAGGCATTGACACTCACTGGTGTACCAGAACTCAACAAGCAGTGCACCTGATTGTGCCAGGAGTACTATCAAAAACTTCAACATCCAGCCCATAGACTTATGCTTATGATCTCTTGCCACTTGATAGTTCTATTCATAATAGGGGGTTAGGGGATTGGAGCTTTGGATTCCCACTCCTCCTTTCCCCACCCCATCCAAAAAAAGGCTTGCACCACAAAGTGCTCTTCTAGAAAGTTACTAAAATAACACTCGAGCAGTTACAAATTACCTTATTTTGCCAACTAACTCATCATGGATACAGTAGCAATAGATTACAATAGGGAGATTACTGTTAACCACACACACGTAGCATACGCACAGCTCTGTGCCTATTCAGCGTTCCATACAAATATATTACGGCCGAACAAGTGTACGGCCGAACCGGACGTCATTCCCTGTATGTAGGCTAACTGGGCTCTATTTTATCATATTGCTATAGAATATTGCTTTTTTATATTGATGATGGAGGGAATATTTTTTATTTGTCAAGAATATTATGTTGTATAAAAACTGGTTTAATTTTATTGTTTTTCAAACACTATTTCTAGTCACGAAAATTGCATTGTTTTTTTAAGGCTCTGTTGAAATATATGATACGGCAAAAAAAGTTTTATTTCCACATCAATATTCCCAAATTTGTGTCGCGGGCATCGGGAGAGATAATCTAACAATTTATTCTGTGTGTCCTTAACATAGAGTGTTGGGATTTCTTGTTCAATTTCCAATCTGTTTTATATGTTAAAATCAGACATGATGAAATTCCAATATTTACCTTTTACTTAGAACCCATATGGGCAGCAGCCAGCATATGGAGGACAACAACCAGCATACGGTGCCCCTCCTACCGGGGCAGCTCCATATGGTCAACAACCAGCAGGGGGATATAGACCACCCCCACCTCAACAAGGAGCTCCAGGAGGATATGGTGGGCAACCTACAGCTGCTTATGGAGGACAACCACCAGCTGGCTATGCTGGACGACCACCAGCCGGTTATGGAGGACAACCACCAGCTGGCTATGGAGGGCAACCACCTACTGGCTATGGAGGACAACCATCTACTGGGTATGGAGGACAACCACCTGCTGGGTATGGTGCTCCAGGGGGACAGCAATATGGTGCCCATGGAGGAGCTCCCTTTGGAGGTCCGGGAGGTAAAAATAATATTAATGAAGTAATACAAATTGAAGATAGGCCAATTGCAGTAGAAAGATTTCAGGATGTTTACATTTTCAACAGGGAAATATGGATTAATGTTTTAAATCAGAGCCAACATACCTAAACACCATATAACAGCTTTCTGCATTATCCTTACCTGGATTATTTACAAACAGGCATTGACACTCACTGGTGTACCAGAACTCAACAAGCAGTGCACCTGATTGTGCCAGGAGTACTATCAAAAACTTCAACATCCAGCCCATAGACTTATGCTTATGATCTCTTGCCACTTGATAGTTCTATTCATAATAGGGGGTTAGGGGATTGGAGCTTTGGATTCCCACTCCTCCTTTCCCCACCCCATCCAAAAAAAGGCTTGCACCACAAAGTGCTCTTCTAGAAAGTTACTAAAATAACACTCAAGCAGTTACAAATTACCTTATTTTGTCAACTAACTCCCCTTCACTTACTCAGGGATCCCCTCCCTCCCCCCACTTAACATTTGTGTCCCTCCTCATTCCCATGTCAATACTCCTAGACATGCCACTGAGAGTCAACAGATTTAAGAGTTTTATTACTATTCATGTTGTCTACCAAGGGTGGTACACTTTCTGGCTCTTCAGGTTTTTTTTATTCCCTAATTCATTGTTCATGCATTCATTTTATTTTGATATTACATTGTCTTGATAATTTTTATATGTTCTTTATATAATTTTTCATATTAAAAATATATTTTAATGTGTTTGTAATAAAGTATTTCATTCATATAAGTTGAATGATTGATTGATGGAAATTTCAATTGAATCTTAATGTAATATGATGAATCGTAATAAATAAAGGAATTGAATTAATTACTGTAATATTTGGGAACTCTGTCTATATGATCTGAATAGAAGGACCATTAATCTTAATTTTTTTAAAATAAATTTGTTTTAAAATATTGCTATCACTTCAAAGGTTGCCCACCAGGTATGGACCCAAATGTTTACTCATGGTTTGTAGCTGTTGATACTGACAGGTCAGGGAAGATAACAGCAACAGAGCTGCAACAAGCTTTAACTAACGCAAACTGGAGTCATTTCAATCAAGAGACTTGCAGATTAATGATAGGTAAGGTTACTTTCAAGCCTATTATGTAATGGATGGATGGATTTATTCAGTGTAAACACCAATGATAACCTACGAAAGTCTAAAGAAGACTTATTTCCAGTGGGGTCCTTCTGTGGTGATTGTACAGTACCCCTGGAAAAAATTCCCTACTCTTTTCCTAATAGTGTATTGCGTTCTTCAATGTGTACACGGGCCATAAGAGAGTACTACAGTCGTGTCTTCACGACACCAGGTAGCACTCTATGTTGTCAACAGACGTAGGTAACTTTTCATTACGCCTGAATGACTGCATAGGCTTTCTGGAATAGGCATTTTAAAATCTAATATTTTACCATCAAAATGTACTAAAAACACAAAAGCACGCATTATATTAGTTATCGAACACATATTTAACCCTTTCCAGTCTGCCCCATTACCATTGCCTGAGGCTGTACCAAAGCTGAGAAATTACATCATCTACACTAAATGTCGGGTTTTTACTGGGCGCAGGCATTTTATTTGGTCTGAATACATGAAGCCCTCTACAGAAATACTCCTACAACACTCTCAAACAATCCTATAGAGGGCAGCCTAGCTATAAAAAAATTATGAAATCTATACAGGGCATACGTACGACGCCCCTCCCTATAAGGTATAGCCAAAGAGGCGTCGTTGCGACGCCATATGACTGAAAAGTGTTAATCATCAATAAAAATTTACAAAGAAAAAGTAAGATACAACATCTTCATAATTAAGTTAGAAATTGGGATCAATGGTTTGTTAGTGGCGAAAATTGCATCTGCTTGAACGCATTTTGCAACGATAGCAACGGAGTCGTATCATGTGGTATTGTGACGTAACACTGTAGTACTCTATGCACACTGGACCAACGGCTTAAACCTCTTATCCGAAAGACAGTGCGCTAGAGTAACTTGCATTTCAGCCCCATAACTGAAACACAAGGAGAGCAGTGGTGGGAATTGAAATGATGACCTAGAGATCTCCATGGTTCAGCGCACACACAGTGCAGTGGTGGCGCCAGAGGGGGGCTGTGGGGCTATATTTGAAAATAAATTAGATGGTTACATTGCATACTCTTTGTTTCTTGCTTTATTCAAAATGTTTTGGTTTTGGAAGCTGATTTCAACATTAGAAAGCATAGCCTA